CCAATTGGAAATTATTTTAAACAAATATTTTACAATAAAAAAAAAAAAAATTAACATTGGTTAATATTGCTAGAAGCATAAAAAAATTAGTAAGTAAAAACATTAATTTTAAAATATTCAAGTATTGGAATACAACAAATACAAACGTTGATTTTAAATCTTAAGGTATTCAAGTATTCGAACGTAACAGGTAAAAATGTCAATTTTGAAGTATTCAAGTACTGGAATAAATTTTAAATCATTTAATTTAAAAATTACATCGTTAATTTTTTTTTTTGGTTTAGTTTCTAAAATTCATATTCATTAATATCATTCATTACAAAATCATTTCAATTAAACAAATTAAAAATTAAATAAAAATTAATTTTATGCAAATACTGAAGAGATATTTTAAAAGTAATTATGACAAAAATTGAAAAACAACAAACAAACTATTTTATCCTATTCTAAGTTAAATTTAAAACTAGAATTAAGGAATTAAATTTAATTAAAAGAAAAAAATTAAAAAAATTAAATTCAAAATTAAAATTAAAATAAAATAAAGAAGGATTAAGAAATTAAATTAAATTAACATTTGGACTAATTAAATTTTTAAATTTAGTTCAAAGTATTAAATTTAAAATTAAATTAAAAAAATATAAAAAAAATATTATAATTAAAGTAAAATATAGCAGAACCATTTTTGGAAAGATCAATTTGCATGCAAATAAACAACAAATACATTCTAATGAATTAGGACCACGATCAACATAATCACCAAGAAATACATAACGACGCATTGTGATACCACTACGACCCTTATCACCGGTCATCATAAATATTCGTTGTAAATCATCATACTGTAATTACCAATAACCTCTTACAGTAATTAAAAAATAATACTGTAAATCATCATACTACAATTATCAATAATATTTTACTTTTAATGAATTAATTGTTTTTATAGTAATTAAAAAAAAAAGTAATATGAATTTTGTTCATCTATTTTATTCAATTTCTAATATGAATCATTTTAAATATGTAATTAAATATTTGTCATATTTCATAATACAGAAATAAATTTTTTCAAAAATATTATTAATTACTAGAATAAATATGATTACAACAAATTAATTAATCATTACATAAGCAATTCATTGCTATAATTAATTAATTTACTTTGCTAGATTGAAAATCTAGTTATTAATTAGTGGAATGAATGAATCACAACATATTAATTGAATTTTTCCAAAAATATTATTCAATTACAAGAATGAATTAATTACAACAGATTAACTAATTATTACATAAGCAATTCAATTAGTACAATTAATTAATTTGTTTGCTAGATTGAAGACGTAATTATTGATTATTGGAATGAATGAATTATAAAATATATTAACTAATTGATTACTTAAACAATTCATTAATATTACTTAAACATTAATATTGCTTAAATTACTTAAACAATTCATTAATACAATCGATTAATTTGATTTTATCAAATTACAAACTTAATTAATATGAATTATCAAACCTGGCCATGTATATCACCAACAATAACGCATGGTAATGGTACTTCAAGTAATGATGGTTCATTTTCAATTATCGGTTTAACATCTTTAAGAATTTGCATAAGCTCATCGACGTTATATTCAATGTCTGAAGAAAAGAATTTCTTTTTTTCCTTTACATTTCACAAAAATTTTAATTATTTATGCAGAAAATATGTAGAATATATATATATTTTTTTAAAATTTATGCAGAATATTTTATTTTTTTCATAAATTTTAATTATTTACGCAGTTTTTTTTTGTTTTAAAATTTAATAAATAACTTTCTTTTTTCCTATTATTTTACTAAAATATTTAACCTAATAAAGAATAATAATAAACTTAAGAAAAAAAATTATATTTCTAACATAAAACATTATAATTTTTCCATTTTTTAGCAATAATTTATAAATATTTTACATTTTATCGTTTTTTTTTTTAATAATATGATAATAATTTATAAAATAATTAAATAAAATTTTAAAAATGTTGTTCAATTTTGAATTGAATGAAATTCTAAAAAAATTTTTAAATTAAAAAAATAATTAAATAAAATTTTAATTATTTTTTTAAAATTTATCAAAAAAAAGACGAAAATTTTTTTTCGTTTTTTTTTCTACCTTCAATTCTTTAAATT